CAGATAATATATGACACTCTGCCCTTAAGAAGGTAGTACATAACTGTCACTCATTAAGTATGGCTGCATATAAAGACTTTTTCCCAAAGCGAAAGGGACAAAAAAAAAGTAACTTTTCAATGAAGAAATCTGACAAACACTGCCTCCACGCAGGTGAGCAAGGTTAAAAGTTATAGTGATAAATCATTTATGTACCCCTAAAATAAAGCTGTGAGAACGGCACCTTATATCTGTGATATTCTTTTTTTTTTTTAAAAGATTTATTTATTTATTTATACAAGCACTGGGGTACAGTCAGAAGCGCGGGAGGGTGAGAGAATTCACCAGAGCCAGAGCAGGGAGCAGAGCAGGCAGAAGGACCGAAGTACACTGCTGAGGGGAGCAGCGGGCTGCGCGCCATGTGGGACCCTCCTCTGGTGGCAGGGGAGCAGCCGGGGATCGAACTGGCACTGCAGAGGCTGCGGGCAGCTTTGAAACCCAGCGCTCAACCACTGTGCCACCGGGGAGGGCCCTATCTGTGATATTCTTACCAAAAACCATAATCCCAGTCTAATCCTGAGAAAAATATCAGACAAGGACATTCTATAAAATACCTACCCAGTAATCCTCTAAACTGCCAAGGACATCAAAAGCCAGGAAAGTGGACCTCCTCTGGTGACACAGCGGTTGAGTGCTGGGCTACAAAGCTGCCCGCAGCCTCTGCAGCACCGGTTCGATCCCCGGCCACCAGCGAGGGTCCCACATGGCCCGCTGACCTCTTCTGCTGCTCCCGCTGCAACCCTCAGCAGTGTATTTCTCGTCAGTCTGCCTGTTCTGTTCCCCGCTCTGGCTCTGGTGAATTTTCTCACCCTCCTGCGCTTCTGACTGTACCCAGTGCTTGTATAACTAAATTAATAAATCTTAAAAAAAAAAATCACAAAACCCAGGAAAGTAAAAAACTGTCACAACCAAAAGGAGCCCAGAGACATGATGACTAAATGTAATGTGGTACCCTAGATGGGATCCTGGAATAGTAAAAGGATATTAGGGGGAAACTGAGAAAATGTGAAGTATGGATTTTAGTTAATAATAATGTATCAAAACTGGTTTATTAATTGTGACAAATATACCAAACTAATATAAGATGTTAATAACCAGAGAAATCAGGTGTGGTGTATTCAATAACTCTGTACTATATCTGCAATAATTCATTCCATAAATCTAAAACATCTAAAATAAAATTTCATTTAAATAGAAAAGAATACAGCCTGGGAAAAGATTCCTTCCAACAGCCCCTATACATACATGCTACCAAAGACAGCTCAGCAAGGATAAAGGAATCTTTGGTGTGGAACACTGCAATTCAAGAGTGTACATGGGGGTGATGCTGCCCAAAGATCCTGGTCTCCAAAAGGTTGTGAAGACAGTAGTCAAGCATCCAAACACCACCTGATACTTAATATAATGCCCCTAGAGGACTCTCAAAACCACATGTGGATTTAGATCATTCTGTGTATTGTCTTAGGAACATGTAAGATTTAACCTCTATCTCAGACACTAGCTTAGCACTGAGAATGTTAACATGACACCTTAGGCTACGACTTAGGAAATCTCAACTTGACCAGCTGTAACTATCAGGAAAAATTTTCATCTCACATTACAAGTGCCAATACTCTATTGTAATGTCCCACTCTGTCATCTTCAGTGCCTTGGTTATTCCTTACTAACTTATCTTTATCTCCTGATACTTGCCTTGATTTCAGGTACCACATGCAGAAAGAACAACATCAGACAAGGGGACCATCTTTTTAAGCGTAACTTTTTTGAAGACACTGGTGAGGTATTTTGTAGAATGTCCTCTAATACGAGGCTGTTTAATGCTTTCTCATGAACAGCCTGGGGATTCTGGACTAGGGGTAATAATACCACAGAACTACAAATGCAGTTCTTTTAAGGAACAAGAAAACTTTCCTTCATAACTCACTAGTCAGATCATAAGCCCCTTCCTAAACTAATCACTGGGAAGAATTAAGAAATTACCATAATAGACTTAGACCAATCAGAACTTAGCCCTGAGTCATAAGTAAGAAGCACATATAGCAAGCAAAAATAGGGTTTGCCTGCAAATATGAAGGAAGTACGAATGGCTATTGACTAGGCCGCTCCCAATGTCTACTACAGGCAAAAACTGAAAGGCAGAGCCTTTGCTCAAAAGAGACCACATTAACAAATGTGTTTTTAAATGGCAGAGATACTTTTAATGGTCAAATTTACTTTACCTTCCTCCAACATTATCACTATCCAGAGAGATTTTAGTTCAGTTGTACAAAATAAGATGGTTTCAGGTTTTATTTTTTTCCTATAATTTGATTTGTAATGCGTCAAGTTGGATACGTCTACATATATGTGATCTTAAACCTGTACAATACCCAGGTAGGTGCTATGATCCCCATTTTACAGATGAGGAAATAGGTCCAAAGTACTTAAATAACTTTCTTAGCGATAATATAGCTATATGTACAGCCTTTTTTAATATACCATGTAGTTCTCCAGATATTAAGGAAGTAGCAGTAATAAAGGAAATATCTCTGAAAGACAGGTTGCATCTATAGTTCATTTAGACAAAGGCTACCATTTCTATTTGCCACTTAGAGTCTCCTCATTAACCCCAAGAACAAACATACACGAGCACTACACAAAGATGCTATGGCTGGCTCAAAATATGGAATTAACATACAAGTAAGAGATATAAATTTCTGAGCCAGTTACACTTAGCCAAGTAAAGTCAAGATACCTAGGACAACATTTCCCACACTACTGTGTTACATTCTTCTGAACCATCATAACAAATATAACTTGAAAAATAGTAATCTGTGATCAAATTAACTGAAAGACACCATGTTAAAATTAAATCAACTTCTTTATTAACAGATTTCTATGAGTCTTTATATGCTAGCAGGCATATTCTCCTAGAGGATACACTAATATTACTTAACATTTCTCTCCAGAAAAGGTTTTCTTTTTAACTCCTGACCTCCTTAGGACAGTATTCTTGTTTAACACTACTGTGAAAAAGATTGCTCTAAAAGGAAAGCAGAAAGAAATCCAAGAATAGAGTCTATTAAGTGTTGGAGGAAAAAAAAAATCCACCAAAGAATATAGTAAAGAAGGTAGAAAGCATATATGGAGAGTTTAACAATTAACAGGAGCAAGAAAGGAAAACTATTTCCCAAAATCTAGAGACAATCAACATTAAGAGAATAAGTGGGGGGTAAAAATAATAAAGATGCTTTTTAGATTTGACTAGGAAAACTGTCACCTGTGCCCTTCATGAGAATAGTTTCAGAAAAGGGATGGAAAAAAGGATGGCAGATAGAAAAGGAAAAGATTTAGGATGGGGAAAAAAAGATTTAGGATAGAGAATGAAAAAGAGGAAGTAGAGAAAGCATTTACAGACCACCACTAATTGGAATTCAGCAGGGACAGTAAAAAAGAAATAAGTTGATTAGGAGAAAGGAAGAACAGAAAAAAATTTAGAACAGGGACACCTACACCTGGTTGAAAATAAAAGGGACAGATTATAATAATCCAGGAGATGGAAGAAATAGAATCCAAAATATAAATTATAAGACATCTTTCCTTTCATATTACAGAATTTGAATAGTAATGCTTAAACCACTTCAAGTCCGAAGGTTTCATTTTAATACTCTAATATTTCATGGATATTTAATACTCTAATATTTCATGGATAATATTCCATGGATATTGGCCTTGGCCTGCAGCCGGCTGCTACTCTACACAACACTGATTTTTCAGTGTTTAGAGTTCAATGTGCAGTATGTGCATAGATTTGCTAATCTCGTGCCCCTCTCAGAGGAAGTCTTTCTACGTTGTGGTAAAGAGAAACATGTACCTGAGGGCCTCCAACTACCTTATGCAATAAGGTAGTTGGAAGCTAATGGAGATTTTAATCTATAATGATTTGCTAAAAATAACTTTGATATACAAAATAAAAATTTGCAATTATAATAGGATCACATACCAAAAACTTGTGAATATTATCAAAGAAAGACATCGGCTTATCAAAACCAGAAATCTTCACAACTCTGCTACGCCAAAAGAAGTTGCAGAAGCCATAAGTTAGTAACATAGCTTCCAATATGCTGGTGAAAACAATTTAATAGCAGCTATTGTTACAGTTTACCTTTAAACTTGTTAAATTCAAAACTTCGTGTGGCTTCTCATCTGCATAAAACACCAACCCTAATAACTACCTCAGCATACAAAATTTCATTTTATTTCCTTTCAAGAACAATGAGGATAATGACATGAGATTCTGTTGCTTAGAACATATTTTTTTGAGTCTACCTTTTTTGGTTAATTTCATTAGTCAAACTGAAGTCATAATTTTGCTTTACCTATGTTCAAATGCAGTTCATATACGCTACTCCAGGGCCCATCTATCTTAACATTTTGATCACAAAAAGAATCAGTAAATTCTGATTCTTTAATTACTTAATAATCAATGTAATTAGATTTTTTAAAAGTCACAATGCTTAAAAGATACATTGTAACCGCCAAAGTGGAAGCGTTAGAGGAGGCCCCATTCTTTAAATAAAGAAATTAATATTGCTCAGTATGCACTGAATAAGAATGAGGCAACAATACCCACACCAAATCTGGCAGTTTCCAGATTTGTCTATCTGTGAACGTAAGGCTGCCACATAGGCCAGATGATTACTACTGCCAGCTCAGCAGCTGAGCTTGAAGAAAACGCGGCATCCACACACAGGCCACTCTTGAGAATCAGAACTTGGAGCCAGCTTCGTCTGGCAGCGAGTGGAGAATGTGGCAGTGATAAACCGGGTAAAGTGACAGAAACAGGGTTGCTGGCGGTAAAGGTAGCCTCCAGAGTTGCAATCCTGGAAGGCACAAGGCAGCCGATGGCGAGCTAACCTCCCCACCCGGGGGGGCTGAAAGAAAAAAAATTCCTAGGGTAGCGGGGAGAGGTTTGTCCTCACCTTGTCATCCTCGCATCTCTTCCCCAGGCCCTCCTTGGCCTGCAGCCGGCTGCTGAGGCGGCCGTAGTCGGCCTCCTTCTGGTCGATCTGTTTCTTGTGTGAGTCCACCAAGAGCAGGAGATCCGAATTGCGCTTCTCCAGGCGCCCGCGGGCCACCTCGGTGCGCTGGACCTGGCCCTGCAGCTCGGCCACCTCCTCCTGAAGCAGGACGTGGCGGGAGGAGATGCTCCAGTAGTTGAAAGCCAGGGCGACGATCACCACCAGGAGCACCACCAGCACGAAGGAGGGCAGGCGGCCCGCCCGCCGGTTGGCCCCGAAGCCCACCATGGGGCCGCAGAAGACAGTGCCCGGGTTCTCGCCACCGACACCTGCGGACAAAACCTCAGGCCTCCGCCGCCGAGTTGCCGGGGGACGCGGCCCCAGGGCCGGCAGGAGGACGAGGAGGCGGGCCGATTCGCCCGCGGGCGAGCTGGAGAAGGGGGCGGGGCCGCAAGCCCCTCCCCGCCCCCCTCCTCAAATCTGGCCCGAGCGCGTCCCGAAGCTGCGATACCAACCTGCACCCGCCGGGCGGAACCTGGAGAGCCCGGCCGCCCGCACTCCGGCCCGACACCTCGGGTTAGGGGGCGGGGCCAGAAGCCGGAAGGAGGCGGGCTTAAACCTGGCCCCGCCCACTCGCTGGGTCCGGGTCGCCTAGGGGGCCATTTCTTAATTTCCGCTGACGCCCCCTGTTCTCGCGAGAAAGTGGGCTTCTCTCGCCTTTTGCGGGCTTATCTCGCGATGGTTATCTGAGGGCGCCGCGCGTGTGGTGACTCTGCGTGTGGGGTCAGCTCCCGCACCTGGCTGCTCAGTTTCCTGGACCCAGGGTCTGTCTAGGGAGTGGCCGCCCTGCCGTGGCCCTCGCCAGTGTTTGTCTTTGAGGCGGTCTGGGGCTGCGAACACTACTTAGGGAAAACCTTAGGTGAGCTGCGGGCCCACGGGGTGACGAGAAAGGTTTTGTACTTGCTTCAGTGGGAGATTTTCTCTGTAAAATAGCGGTGCCCCAAACATTATAGAGAAAAGTAGGGGGAACCGAGCTTTGTGACAGAAAACGGTGGTAGCAGCTTGGTTTCCAAGGTTGCTGCTGTCTTGAACGCAGAGAAATTTAAAATGTGGTGAGCTCCAGTTCTTAAATTCGCTGTGCTTGCACCCCCCCACCTCCCCAACCCCCTATCCCCCCAATCCCCCATCCCCCTCACACACCCCCACCCCCACCCCCCTACGCCCCCAACCCCCAGCTGGGCTTTCAAATACAGAGACCAGAGACTACCCAAAATGATAACTGCACTGTAACTGACGTCCAGCACATTTTCGTTACAAATAGTGCTCTTCCAAATTGCTTTTGCTTGCCTAGCCTCTCAATAACACAGTGTTACAGATGAGGAATCCAAGGCACAAAGATGTTTACGAAATTTTCTTAAAGACCCATAACTTGTTTGAAAAGGCTTGATCATTGTACAGTGATCAGAGATTGCATTTACCAGGTTGCCTGTTACTGTAAGCTCAGCGTTAATGATAGTGATTTTTTTCCTGAGTATTTCCTTTGTACTTGTATTGAAAAAATTTTCTTTTCCTTAAGCTATTGGATCTGTCCTGCTTGAGGAGAAAACGGAGTCACTTAATTTTTCAAACCTCAAGTTCAAGAATTTCCATGAGCTTAAAAATCAAGAGTGCAAAAGCTTATTTTCATCGAAATCAGAGTGGTATGATTTTTAAACCGGAAGACTTGCCATCTTTGAAACATTGTTTTATGCCTCCTGTTCATTTCAAAAATAGTTACTTGCCTAATTGTCCTAGAGTAGCCTGGAAGAATTATTGCACCTTCCAAGAATCATGATTTCTGTCAGACACAGTAAAACAACACCAAAGTTAGTAATTTAGCTAACATCAATCTTGAACTCTATCAAACATCCTAACAGCTAAGAAATTCTCTCTGGTTTCAGATAAAAAGCAGTCTTTGGAAAAGGTGAGCAAAGCAAAAGTGGGACATCATTGACGACTGGCCTTGTTTTGCTTAACCAGCAGTTGAAAAATCTATAAAGTGATGTTAACCATATTACTCTTTCCAAAAGTGTTCTCATTTTTGGATATGTAAAAGTATAATATTGTACAAAACACATTCAGAGACCTTTTTTTCTTCAGTACTTTTTTTTTTTTTAAGATATATTTTATTTGTTTATAATAGCACTGGGTACAGTCAGAAGCACCGGAGGGTGAGAGAGTTCACCAGAGCCAGAGTGGGGAGCAGAGCAGGCAGACTGATGAAGTACACTGCTGAGGGGAGCAGCGGGCAGCAGGAGAGGTCTGCGTGCCATGTGGGACCCTCACCCAGCGGCCGGGGATCAAACCGGCGCTGCAGAGGCTGCGGGCAGCTTAGCAACCCTGCGCTCAACCGCTGTGCCACCGGGGAGGCCCTCTTCAGTACTTTAAAAAAAGCTATTTGATAACCTTATTCATTGTTTTACAGGGAACCCCGATATGAAATGGGTTGCCTGTACAGATGCAGAAGTAACTTGCTCAAAGTCATACATAAGTGGGGTATAAGGTCATTCATGGGAGGTGTATTCTTTAATGTGTCACCCAGACCCCCTACAAGGAATGAAGGACTTATCCCCTAGGTCACTGAAAGTACTGCCAGCCCATACCCCTCAGCTATCAGCATGCATCAGAATTTCCTCAGCTGAAGAATGAGGGCTTTCTTGAGAATACCTCCTCCCATCCCCATGGTACATGCAATACTGGTCAATACAATACACTTCTTATGTCACTTCCCTATGTCAAATCCATTGTTCACACTTATATAGCAAGAAGCAATATACTACAGGGGTATTGTGGGTTCTGAAATAACAGTGTGTGAAGTTTCTCCCTACCTCTTGCTAATTTTGTAGCATCAGGCCAGATATTTAACCTCAGTCCCCAGTTTTCTCATTTCCAAAATGGCACTCAGAATGAAGTTTGGATCTATATAAAGGGGAAAATAGCTTAAGGTAGGCTTTTCTTCTTTCTCACATAAATCCAGAAGCACAGAGTCCGGACTGCTAAGGCAGGAACTTTCCAACTCATGATCTGTCATCCCTACAATATGGACCTCATCTTCCCTGCCAGACAGCACTTTCTTTATCTAGGAAGCAGGAAGGATGAAAGGCACTCCCTCCTCCAACTTTTATTTTTTTTAAGATTCATTTTCTATTTATTTCTATTTATTTATGCATACAAGAACTGGGCGTAGGCCAGAGGTGCAGGGGGTAAAAGGATTCACCAGATACGGAGTGGGAGCAGAACAGGCAGATCCACTGAAACACACTGCTGAGGGGAGCAGCAGTCAAGACAGGAGAGGTCTGCTATAACATGTGGGTTGGCTTCCTGGCCAGGGATCGAACCCAGGCCACAGTGGCTGACAACAGCTTGATAGCACGAAACTTAACTCCTGCGCCACCAGGGAGACACCCCCCTCCAACTTTTTTTTTTAAGATTTATTTATTTATTTATACAAGCACTGGGTACAGTCAGAAGTGCGGGAGGGTGAGAGAATTCACCAGAGCCAGAGCAGAGAATAGAACAGACAGACGGACGAAAAACACTGCTGAGGGGAGCAGTGGGCGTGGCAGGAGAGGTCTGCGCACCATGTGGGACTCTCACCGGCAGCTGGGGATCGAACCATCGCTGCAGGGGCTGTGGGCAGCTTCTCAGCCCAGCACTCAACCGCTGCGTCACCAGGAGAGGCCCCCGCCTCCAACTTTCAAAATATCTGGAATGTACATTTCCACTTCTCATTGACCCGAAGTTAGTCACATGGGCACCCTCAGAGACTAAGAAGGCAAGGAAGTATAATCAATATCTTCAGTTGAAAATTGGGCTCCCTCAATAAAGGAAAAAGTGTAGAAAAAATATAAAGAAGCAAAAACAAACTGACACAAATATGGTTGTGTACAGTGCTTAGAACTGCACTTAATAAGTACTAAATAAATGTTGCTACTGGGCCTCCCTGGTGGCTCAAGGGGTTGAGCGCTACACTATGAAGCAAACTGCAGCCTCTGCAGCACGAATTCAATCCCCGGCTGGCCAAGGAGCAACCCACATGGCGAGGCAGACTTCTCCTGTCTCTCCCACTGCTCCCCTCAGCAGTGTATTTCATCCGTCTGCCTGTTCTGTTCCCCGCTCTATCTCTGGTGAATCCTCTCACCCCCGCATCTCTGGCCAATACCCCAGCCCTTGTATACATAAATAAACAAATCTTTTAAAAAATTAAATAAATGTTGCTACTACTGCTACCATTACCAGCAATGATTCTAAGCTTGTAGAAAGGACATGAACAAATCTATATGTTCGCTCACTTTTGTCCATGTATTGAATAAATACAATCACAATGATATTGCTAAGATAATAATTAAGAAATACTTAATTAGAGGGCTTCCCTGGTGGCGCAAGGGGTTAAGCACAGCACTATGAAGCTATCCGCAGCCACTGCAGCACGAGTTCAATCAGCCTGTCAGGAAGCTACCCCCATGGTGCAGCCGACCTCTCCTGTCTCACTCACTGCTCCCCTCAGCAGTGCATTTCAGTCAGTCTGCCTTTTCTGTTCCCAGCTCTGTGTCTGGTGAAAGCTCTCACCCACCCCTCCCCGCACCCCTGGCCTGTACCCCAGTTCTTATATGCATAAATAAATAAATCTTAAATACTTAATTGGAAGTGGTATTATGGTGTAATGCTTTTAGTGAAATTTTTAAAAGTTCATCTTCATGACACTATTATTTTTTTTTTTTTTAAAGATTTATTTATTTATTTATATAAGCACTGGGTACAGTCAGAAGCACAGGAGGGTGAGAGAATTCACCAGAGCCAGAGCGGGGAGCAGAGCAGGCAGAAGGACCGAAGTACACTGCTGAGGGGAGCAGCGGGTGCAGGGGAGGTCTGCGCGCCATGTGGGCTCCTCCTCCAGTGGCCGGGGAGCAGCCTGGGATTGAACTGGTGCTGCAGAGGCTGCAGGCAGCTTCGCAACCCAGCGCTCAACAGCTGCGCCACCGGAGAGGCCCCTTCATGACACTATTATTGAAAGCCTGCTTTGTTCAAGGCTTTATATCGTGGAGTATGCATTAATTAATTGACTACTCAAGCATTCAGTGAGAGTCTGCTGTGTGCAGATATTGTTGTAGGTAGGAGGAGTTGCAGGGCATAGCAGAAACATAAAGGTCCTCATGAAGCTTCTAGTCTCTTCCTCCTTTACCAATGCCCAGCCAGGGAATTATTCAGTCTACCTACTTTAAATCATTTTTGAAACCTCGCACCCCCTGCTGCTCTCAAATAGAACTGACCACTGCTTTATTGTGCCTCCATGTGGTGTCCTCAGTTTATTTTGCTGTGTCACATCTGTCTCCTACTAGACTTTTGATAAATATTTTCCTGCAGGACTATCGTAATAGAGAGT